TCATTCATTGTCTTCTCGACTCTACACTTAAAAGCCAAAACAACACACACGTATACGCATGCACAGACAAGCACACGCATGTGATCAACAGTAGCAGCATCAGTAGGTACCTGTGGGAATACAGCAAATGCCAGCACAGGGTAACCCCAGCCAGCGAACCCTTACATGTAGGCACTGTGTCAAGACTTGGGGGTGCAGAGGGGTGTAAGAAAGCCCTGGCTCGCGGCTGAGACAGGACGGCGAGCGCAGAGGAGCAGAGCTACGTGGAGGGCACAGCAGGCGGCTACCACGTGGACCACTCTCAATTTCTTCCTTCTTCTTGCCCTCCGCCCACACCGGGTGCGAGCGGGGAAAGGAAACGGGACTCTGCAGTTTCTCCCAGGCCCGGGCGCAGCACAGGAACTCATCACACTGGGGGCGATGGAACTGCCCCTCTTCCTGAACAGCTGCATGCCCACATTTAAATTAGCTATTGTGGGTTTCTTAAAATCTCACGTTAGACCAGGACTTCCGAGAGAAGGCACTGTATTTCACTCAGCTTGGCACCTCCTTAGTGTCAGTATGGACTCTTACACATAACCCACATTCAGCAGTTATTACAATAAAAAAATTAACATAGCAATTTCTAGATAGCACACAAAAGGACAGGTTTTATCCAATTCTAAATCCAAATGATTGATGAAACTGCTATGCTTTGTTTTCACTGAAAAGTACACATAAGTCACTCCTGGGCTTTCTGTCCCCCAGTGCTCGCCGCTTCAGAGTAACGGCCAAAGTCACTATGAAGACAGGCAAACGCCTGCGTACCCCACCCTGACCCTGGCGTCTACTTCCCAGAATAGAGCTCCCCTGAGAAGCCGTCCGGGACCACTCTGTTTCAGTAGCCCCCTTCCGCCTCGTGGCCCCGTCTCAGTCTGTAGTCTGCGTTTCCTTTCCTGACCACCTGCCGCGCAGCACCTGGAACCCTCTTCTCTGCCGGCGATGCGCGATCGATTCATTTATCACCTGTCTCCCCGACAGCAACGGGCGCCCCAAGGGGATTCTGGTCTGCTTGGCTCCTTGCTCTGTCCTCTCTGATCTGAACAGTGCCTGGCACGGAATAGGTGCCCAATGAACACTTGCAGAGCAAAAGAATTTTCCTTAAAATGGAAAAAGTATACAGCAGAATCTGCCTTAAAAAAAAAAAACCTCTGTTTTATCATTTCTAATGGGATCGTGACACATGGTTCCATATATGAAGGCATGAAAAACATGGCCTGTTGCTCTCTGTGGAGATAATAAGCCCTACTCTGGCTGGCCAGCCAGCTGCACGGGAGTGCTCAGCACGGAACACGTCCTGTGAGGTGCTCAACTCACGGGCTGTTCTGGTTACGCCCAGCTAGGGTACAGACGGTGAGTTGTAATTAAACAAGCTACAGCAGAGCTCTTGCTCATGGTCACATTTCACAGCAAACCAAAAAGAAAAAAAATACTGACAGGAATTTTAATGACCACAACATACATCTTAAAGAGCAAGAGAAGAAGTTTAAAAATTCCTTAAAAGTTATTAATCACTGAATAGTCTTACATGATGACTAAATACTAGACCACACACACGTCTAACACAAAGACACATATTTCAGGCCAGGAGCATATGGGTTGTTTTGTAGAAATTTTCCGTTGCTATTTCTATACACACAGGCTGCACAAAATACCAAAATGTTATTAGTCACTGACCAATTTTTCTCTTTTCCTTATTTTATGACAACATCTGCTCCTTATGCTGTCAACAGTAACTCAGTTTGACATTTTTCATACTGTAAATATCTAACTTCTGGGAGCCCTATCTGGGCTTATTATGAGGCTAGAGAGACTGAAGAGGAAAGCAAGTTATAAATCATTCGTTCACTCTTTTAAGTAATATTACTAATACTTACTGTCTACCATACAATCATGATTATACGCAAAGAAAAAAGAAAATAATAAAAACACTGTGTTGAGGTCACACACACACACCCATATTACCTTTCCATTGAAAAAGATGCTGACTCCACTTGTACGGCATAATTACAGCTAAAGACACGCCAGTAACTCCGTAACAATAAAAACAGGGCTTGAGAGCCTGTGAAATGATCCCACATGCAACTTCAATAGCTTGTCACAGGATAACACCTTGCCTTTTATACTTGACTCCTCTGGTGCCAAAAACAAACAAACAAACAAACAAACAAACAATAAAAGATAAATCCAGTTCGCTGGCATAGTTGTTTTCCACTAGCTGAGACCTTCACTATGTGTCAGTGCCTTAGTTGGCAACTACTTCAAACATTAAAAGCCACAGTCCCCACCGGATGGTCTCTCAACAAACTGAACATTCCTCTTCAGGCATCCATCAAGTTTTAAATAAACTATTTCTAAAGTATTACATCACGTGTCTCTACCGGGTCATAAAATCTCTACATTTCACCTTCACCGAATTTTTAAATTATTACTTATGTCAGTGACATGGAGAAAGAAAGAGACAGAGGGAGCTCCCATCTGCTGGTTTACTTTCCACATGCCCTCAATGGCCGGGGCTGAGCCAGGGACAAGGCTAGGGCCCAGGAACTCAGTCAGGTCTTCCACTTGGTGGCAGGAAGCCATCACCGCTGCCTCTCAGGGTCTGCACTGGCTGGAAACTGGAGACAGGAGTCAAGAGCCGGGAATTGGATCCAGGCCGTCTGGTGTGGGACATGGCCGTCTTGACCGCTTGTCTAAACCCCGCTCCCCTCCTAGAAGTTCGCTACCAGCAATGCCTTCACTTTACAGGAAGAGAGGTGGAGGCGCAGAGGACGTGTGGTTCCTCCTGCCGTCTGACAATGTCCCTCTGCGGATCCTCAGCACCTCAGAACTTACAGGGACCCCAGGAAGCCACTGCCAGGCGGAAGCCACTTGGCCATTTTTACAGAATCCCGGAGTGAAAAGGCTCTGATATTAGTCACAAATTCAATTCTCTCTATGCCAACCCTCAAAATTATCATCCAGTTTACGTAGGCACGTACATAAAAATGGCATATTTCATTTTTTCATGCTCCTAATTCTTGGGAACCACTTTCAGCTTCTGATCTGAAAGCTGCCTCCATGAACTTGCCTATGGGCTTTTTTCTATTTTCTGGAACAAGGAAGACTGACATAAGCAATCTTCTATGAGATAGTTTCAAATGCATGAGGGTAACTGTGACACCCTTGCAAAGCCTGCATTCTCAACCTCTGTAGTCACCTCTCCCAAGACCTGCTAGCCAGGCCCCCGCAACCACAAATGCAGGCATTTGTGCCCCTGCAACAATACGGCACCCAAAACTGACTGGATAGCCAGAATAGTGCCGAGCAAGTATAATAGAAACACTCTTGTTCTGAACACCAGGTGGCTAGCAGTTTAGCCAACAAATAAGCCACTTTTTAAAAAGGATTTACTGGGGCTGGTGCTGTGGCGTAGCAGGTAAAGCCGCCGCCTACAGTGTCAGCATCCCATGTGGGCGCCAGTTCGAGTCCCGGCTGCTCCACTTCCAAACCAGCTCTCTGCTATGGCCTGGGAAAGCAGTAGAAGATGGCCCAAGTCCTTGGGCCCCTGCACCCACGTGGGAGACCCAGAGGAAGCTCCTGGCTTCGGATTGGTGCACTTCTGGTCTTGAGGCTAACTGGGGAGTGAACAGTCGGATGGAGGACCTCTCTCTCTCTCTCTCTGCCTCCCCTTCTCTTTGTGTATAATTCTGACTTAAAAAAAAAAAAAAAGGGGGATTTACTAGGGCCAGCACTGTGGTATAACAGGTAAAGCTGCCACCTGCAGTGCCGGCATCCCGTAGAGGCTCCAGTTCAAGACCCGGCTGCTTCACTTCTGATCCAGCTCCCTGCTATGGCCTGGGAAAGCAGTAGAAGGTGGCCCAAGTGCTTGGGCCCCTGCACCTAAGTGCGAGACCCAGAAGCAGCTCCTGGCTCATGGCTTTGGATTGGCTTGGCTTTGGATTGGCCCAACTCTGGCTGCTGGGGAGTGAACCAGCAGATGGAAGATCTCTCTGACTCTGCCTCTCTGTAACTCTGCCTTTCAAATAAATAATTTTTTTAAAAAAAAGGATTTATTTATTTGACAGGCAGAGAGACAGAAGGCTGAGGGTAGGGTGTGGTGGGCTATAGCATATCTTTCATCCACTAGTTCACTTTCCAAATGGTCACAACAGCCAGGCTGGGCCAGGCCAAAGCCAGGATGGGTCTCCAGAATGCTATCTGGGTCTCCACAGGGGTGGCAGGAGCCCAAGTATTTGAGCCACCTTCCATTGCTTTCCCGTTGTGTATCAGCAGGGAGCTGGATGGCAAGTGGAGCAGCTGGGACTTGAATCAGCTGTGATACAGGATGCCAGCGTCGCATGGGGCAGCTTTACCAGCTACGCCATGAGACCCAGCCCAGTAAGCTGCATTCTGATAGCCATTTTGGAGTGCTGGTTTCAAAGTGTCAGGTGGAAAAAGACTTGCCCTTTCAGCCTGCACATAACAAGATGGGTTTTTGCCTTTTCTGGGCCCCCTGTTCTTTCCTTGTCATTTATGAGTCCAACAAGTGAAAACCAACGACGAATCCTGTCCGCATGCTAAGTGTCTTCCTCCCGGTGAACACCGAAACCTGGCTCTATCTTATAAGCTGCTGTTAAGATACAGAACCAGGGAACTATTCCCTGGTACCAGGGTTTCAGGCAGGCAGAACTGCCAAAGCTGACTTTGCGCCTTTGAAACTCATACTTTCACACAGAGCATCAATATAAAATCATCATTTACTAATTTTTTTTTTGTTGGTAAAATTTATTGCTTCAATCTCAAAAGATTTTTTATGCTTAAATTTCTATAGAAAAATTTATAAAGTTCCATAAATATCAACAATGTATAAATTCCGAGGGGCTTTTGGATAGTTGTTTTGGTTTTTTCTTAAAACCACTATCAGAAAAATTTCACTTCCCATTTGAAAAAAAAAGTGCACACGCATACATGAGGCTAACTGATCGTTACTATGCTCAGTCACAGGGTGACAGGAAAAAAAAAGCCACCACCATAAAAGGATGTCTGCATCGTCTCTCTTAAAACAACATGCCAAGGTTAACATATCTCAGTCTGGGCAGACACTGACGGATACAGCACAGAGGCCCCAACAAGTCACAGATATGTAAGTACTCACTGGATATTTTGTTTTTTGGTTTTTTTGTTTTGTTTTGTTTTGTTTTACAAATTCTTTTGGGTTGAAAGTCTAAGATTTAAAGTAAAAGGGAAAGGGAAAGAATCTATTTAATAATAAGCTATAAATATTTCCAACATTATGCTATTGATGCAGTGTGGGCTCTGGTGACTGGCAGTTCCGATCAGCTATTATTAAGCTGGGAAAGCAGTGGATCACGCCAGACAGATGTCTGCCAGAGAACGGGGTTTGCTTTGTGTGTGTCTGTGTGAACTGGCAACAATGAAAAATAGTGCCATGTACAAATGAGCAAACAGCGCTAATATTTCAGGACACTTTAATATGAAGGGAAATGAATGAAGCAAAAGTGGAATTTTCCACACTTGAATGTACTGCTAATATGCAACATAACAAACTACTCAGGACAATTTAAAACAAAAAAGTTCTGTAAAAATCTTTTTTTATATATTCATTTTGATTTCTCAGGATAGAATCGTGTAGTAGCATTCCCGGGGCAAAAGGACTCCGGGAGCCAAGTTTTTCCTAAAACTGGTTGTAAAATGATCTATATCAGTTGACAGAAACAGTTTATCAGTTTACCCACCCATCAGCAAAGAGTAAGGGCCTTGATTTTTGCTGCCTCTCAGCCAACATGGGTATTTTAATTCCAAAAATAAGCTATCAATTAGAAAACTACGAAAATAGCACTTCTGTTGTTTGGTCTACACCCATTTGACATTCAGGAAGGCTACACATGTCTTTACCTAGTTTTCTAGAATGTCTACGTTCCTCCTCCTCGCCATCATAAAACCAGGAGTTCCACACAGAAATTTGCCAATACTGAAGTCCAGACTGGGCACTGAGATTACAGAAATTCTTGGCAAAATGCAGGCTATTAAGGACTTCCTCTAAAGGAGCGTTTGTTTTTTTTTTTTTTGTTTTTTTATTGTTGTTGAGAGTTTCTTTCTTTCTTTTTTTTTTTTTTTTTTTTTTTTTTTGCTGTCACTCTGAGTGCAGTAGTGGGCTCCAGATTCAGGCTCAAACCTGGGCTCCATTATGTACAAGGTGTGTGGCTCTGCACAAGCCACCTAACGTCTCTGGCTTCTGCTGCTTCATACTGCCAGGTTCTTATACCAAGGCTGCTCAGAGCAAGCGCTACTAAACTGTCTGCTGTCGTTGCCCTCCCTCCCCTGCGCCCGCCGACCTGCCCGCGGATGAATCCCACGGGCAAAGGTTCCTTGTCCTATGCTTTCTGTGAGAATTACTCTTTTGGGACCGTACTTGCAAATCTCTATGGGCTATTCTACACGGAGACTCGGAGTGTGGGAGTGATCGCACCCCTGCCGGCGTTCTCAGGGCTCCACAAGCACCAGGGCTTCCACGCGTGTCTTCTCTCGAGGAGGTCATGGCACTTTTTGCACATAACACTGCAAAGAGTTACGTTACCTCCCTCCACAAGTCACTGTCACTCAGCGCGCATGCATTCTGTGGGTGGCCACAGAACTAACAAGTCCATTTATAAGCTGCTTTCTAGAGCTTGTTAGAACCATGACCAGTCACTTAATGGCATACATATTAATTCAGGTCATTATTTGACTTTTATTCTTGTATTCACTACATATCTATTTCCAGCTGCTTTTGTGACATTCTATGTAATAAAACTTATGAGATAAAGTCATCATCCTCATAATGGGCATAATGGCATAATGGGTTAAGCATCCCATATACCCATACCAATTTGTGTCCTGGCTGCTCTACTTCTGATCCAGCTCCGTGCTAATACACCTGGGAAAAGCAGCGGGGGATGGTCCAAGTGCTTGGGCCCCTGCACCCATGTGGGAGACCTGGAGAAAGCTCCAGGCTCCTGTCTTTGGCCTGGCCCAGACCTGGCTATTGTGGCCATTTGGGGAGTGAAGAAGTAGATGGAAGATCTCTCTCTAGATATATATATATATCTCCCTCTCTCTCTGTAACTCTGCTTTTCAAATAAATTTAAAAAATCTAAAAAGATGACTTATTTATTTGAAAGGCAGAATGACAGAGGGAGAGACAGACAGAAACAGAGAGATATCTTCCACCTATTGGTCCACTCCCCAAATGGCCAGAATAGCTGGGGCTGGATCAGGCCAAAGCCAGGAGCCAGGAACTCCACCTTGGTCTCATAAGCGTTGTCCGCTGTTTTCCCAGGAGTGTTAGCATGGAGCTGGATGGGAAGTGAAGCTGCGCCACAATGCTGGCCCCAGAAATTCACATTTTCAAAAAGAGCCTGCTACGTAATGAATGAGTTCTAAGGGATGCCCTTCTCTCTGCTACAGCTGAGGCTGCTGCCAAAAGCGAGCTGAGGACACCTGGTATCCTCCCCCCTGTAGAGTTTATCAATTCCTCAACAGGTCCTAAGAGGCTGGGCACTGAGTGCGAGAGAGTGCACGTGCAAAGCGTGGAGGTAACAGGGATCCTTGAAGTGCTCTGGGAGCCCAAAGCGAAGAGTAACACTACTTAGTTACGTATCTGCCAACACCCAAAAAGTAGTGTCAAAATAAATACCATAAAAGCTATTCTCAGTATTCACCATCTTCTTTCCATCAGAATTTCAGTCTGAATTTTTACTGTCAAAATATTCTTCAAAATAGTAAAATGTGAACTCATTTATAAAACCTTTACTTGCTTTAAAATATGCTACAAATAAATCCATGAACTCCATTGTTTAAGTCAATGTAGCAACCGGTTCCCTAACTCCACACTCTCTTCTCATGTTCAGGCAGCTCTGACTGGGTATATGTTAAAAGTTTTGGGATGCTTTTATACTTTACTGATTTTCCACCCATACTGTCAGAGCACATGGGGAACAGGAATGAGGGAGACTGGTACAGGGCCGCATCTGCCTGGGTGGGCGCTGTGACACCTGCCAGCTGGGTCTCTGGGAGAGCCACCTGAGTGTCCTGGGCCCCAGCTCCACCACGTGTTGAGTGCACAGCTGGGCACCTGTGACAGGTCAATGCACAGGGCAGTCTGTGCTGAACCCTATGGGTCACTCAGAAAGGACCTTTGGTTTTTTTTTTTGGACAGGCAGAGTGCAGAGTGGACAGTGAGAGAGAGAGACAGAGAGAAAGGTCTTCCTTTGCCGTTGGTTCACCCTCCAATGGCCGCCACGGCTGGCGCGCTACGGCCGGTGCACCGCGCTAATCCGATGGCAGGAGCCAGGTGCTCCTCCTGGTCTCCCATGGGGTGCAGGGCCCAAGGACTTGGGCCATCCTCCACTGCACTCCCTGTGCGCAGCAGAGAGCTGGCCTGGAAGAGGGGCAACTGGGACAGAATCCGGAGCCCCGACCGGGACTAGAACCCAGTGTGCCGGCGCCGCAAGGCGGAGGATTAGCCTAGTGAGCCGCGGCGCCGGCTGGAAAGGACCTTTGGTCAGGGACCAGGAAAGCTGGCCTGGCGCTGTTCTCTTGCGAGTGGGTATTCGTTAGCAACCACGGGTCAGCTGGAGACATGGAAACTGCACCTCCACTCACAGTCCTTCACAGGCTTGTGGGAGATGGAGCGGAACCTCACCAACACGCTGTGACGCTGTCACAGAGCATGGGGCCCCAGCAAAGATGCCCCCACCCCTACCTTTCTGAGGGCAGAGCGGGAGAGGGGACGGGGGCGCGGGTGGAAATCGGGGAAGCTTCCAGGAGCCAATGACTTCAGAGTCTTGAAGTGAGGCAGGGGCCGAGAGCACAGGACGGGGCACGTGGGAAAGCCAGACACTGCACGGCATGTCGTGCGGCCGCAGTCGGGGCATGTGGAGATGATGCAGCTGCGCGGGGAGCCGCGCCCCAGCAGGAAGGAAGTCGTGAGCGGTGACAGAGAGCCTCCGTCTGCCCAGGGGACTGGACGGGCTCCACCTACAGGGCCTCTGGAGGCAGCAGAGCCGCTCTAGAGCAGAGCAGGGGGGCTGAAGGCAGACAGGGGCAGCGAGAGAGAGCAGCTAGCAGACAGGGGACAGCCGCCCAGACCCGCAGGGCCGGGGAGAAGAGGGTCGGCCTGAAGGTCAGGGAGGGAGCCTCAGGGACAGCCCTGGGCCAGACTGCAGGATAACAGAGAAGACACTTGAAGGAGCAGTGGTTCCTAGGGACAGACTCAGCAGACCTCCATGACAGAGGGCTGGGGTCTGTCCTGTAGTTTCCCACCCCACTCACAGGAGTCCACGGCAGGCTGCAGGCAGACACACGCTGGAACGAGTGTCTCAGAGTTCCCCTCCTAGTCAGTGTCAAAGCCGCCAAAAGCCACCAGGCCAGCAATCAGCAAAAGGCGAAGGAAGGCCGGCACCGCGGCTCACTAGGTTAATCCTCCGCCTGTGGTGCCGGCACCCCGGGTTCTAGTTCCAGTCGGGGCGCTGGATTCTGTCCCATTCGCTCCTCTTCCAATCCAGCTCTCTGCTGTGGCCCGGGAGTGCAGTGGAGGATGGCCCAAGTGCTTGGGCCCTGCACCTGCATGGGAGACCAGGAGAAGCACCTGGCTCCTGGCTTCGGATCAGCGCAGTGCACCGGCTGCAGCGGCCATTACAGTGTAGTGCGCCAGCTGCAGCAGCCATTGGGGGGTGAACCAACAGAAAAGGAAGACCTTCTCTCTGTCTCTCTCTCTCACTGTCCACTCTGCCTGTCAAAAAAAAAAAAAAAAAAAAAAGAAAGAAAAAAAAAGAAAAAGAAAGGCGAAGGAAGCAAGGCACGTGGGTGTTGAACACGAGCGTCCTCACTTCCCTGCTGTTCCACCCTCTCCAGTGGGCTCGTCTACGTTGCTCCTCACGGTGCACCCTGGGGTCTGGGACGGGGTGAGAGGTAAATACTCTCTGTCCTGCACAGTCCTCCATGCTCTGTCCTGGGCCCGAGAGGCGGTCTGAAGCAGCCCATATCACGCAGCCAGCAGCAGGGCCACGGGGCTAGTAACTCCGCGGTAAGGCCGCTCACTATGCCCACCGTGGCCCCTGGGTCTGTCGTCACACATCCACA